TGTTAAGGAACGTACTTTAAGTTACTACCTTGGGAAAAACTCACTATTTACTACATACATATATATAGATACCCATTATGGTAACTTAATTTAAGTTCCTTAACAGCAACCCAGTCTGGGGTTGAGGAAGCTTTCGCATAAACATAGGGCCCCAAAACGGACCATTGACATACTGCCCTGCATCTACTGTGGTTCTTATGATGCCCTAAACCCATTTTGCGGCTGCCATGTGCAAGTCAGCAAGCTGGCGTGTATATGAATCGCTTGGAATGAGTGTGTCGGCACAGACTCGAGGGGCTTAGAGTTTAGGATCTATAGCGTTGAAGGCTTGGACTTTGGGGTTTACGCGGACTTCTGCGCGCCATGTGGGGTAGGCATGCTGCGGTGCCGCACACATGCACATTCAGCAAGCCCCCTGTACAGGGCTCTTACTCCAGGAGGCCCATAACTCCTTTGGAGGTTTGTGGTTCGGGGGTTGTAACCTTAGGGTACTTTAGAACATTATAAAACGAAAGCCCGATTTAGCACTTAAAAGGTTGAGTGCTGATTCTATGGGGGATCGAGGTTAAGGGAATGCAAAAACAGCCTGAAGAATTGCCAATGCAATTGTCAGGTCTACTTGAGGCGCCCTATAGACTACTATTTACAAGGAATCTAAGATCCCTAAACCCAGGACCCCTAAACCCCTAGACCCAATTTGGAAGTTCTTTAGGCTTGTACATTGGGCTTTAAGCAGGGCTTGGGCCCACTTGCTGGCTGTTGGTAAGGGTTTAAGGATTCGAAAAGAACATGGAAATTATGATATTATTGGGGGATTATACATTAGGGCCTACTATAGAGATGCATTCCTGCATTCGTACTGGCCCTACTGACAATGTTGCGGTCACGATTCCACGGCTTATGTGCCCAGGGCTTGTCAACTGGCGTTTCCAACACTTATGTAGGGTCTCGCAAACAAAGGGCATCTAATCTTCAAAAATCTGCCAAGTCTAAGTGCATCCTCATTCTGAGAGCATTGGAATGATTTCGGGTTTGTCGGGCGTCCACGCATGGAAGAAAACATGAAATCAGTACAAATTTACTCTGCGCAGAAGGGACTCTGCTAGCTGCTTGAAAGTCGTAACAGATGGTCGGTTGTCAAGATTGTGGTCCCTTTTTGGGTGCCATAGGATAATTACAAAAGGAATGTACGACAAGAATGCCGGAAATTATTCAAATCTCTACATGATACCGAGTGCAGGCCACGAAGAGGCGTAG